GTTTAGGGGTGGGGTTAGGTGTAGGTCATTCGTACAAATTCATACCAATTGTGCAACTCGTAAAATACGTACGATTTAGCACAAATTGTATGAATTTGTACGACTGAGGTCGTACGAATTCGTATGAATTGGCCACCTTGTAAAATATGTACGAATTGCCGTGAGATCGGGCTGGTAAAGCTGCACAGTCTGATTGGAGGATTGTTGTATTTAGAAAGTGCGTGTGGTTTTTGCGTGCGGTGCATTCATCATATAGACTGTTCGTCCATTTCTGAAAAAGGACAGGAAAAACAGCAGAAAGGAATAGGGCACGAAACGGGTGGAATAACTCAACCGTGCTTTGATAAAGCTGATAAACACGCTGGACGCTGGAATGCCGATGGGTGGTCGAGCACAAGAGGGACTAATGACCGCTTTTATGAGATGAACGACACCACATGTTGTAATTGTGGAAAACATTAACCGTGCAAACTTACGTCTGTCATTAAAGAATCACGGCGTAAGCAGATTACGTTTTCGGTGTAAATATCAACCGCACAGTTCAGTTTGTGCGCATTTTGTGAGGAAATTCTCCTCTGTGCTGGTTTATGAGTGCTAAAACTACATTACCCATCATTCTCGGTCCAGCTGCATAGCTAATGTTCATCCTGCTCTTTGTTTTGTTGCATTAGCGCATGTAGCATGTAGCATGTCCCAAGAGATGCATGTAGTTTCCAGCGTCTCTGTCTGATTGTGCGCAGCTGTTTGGGGTCATGAGAACGGCCCAGCGGTCTTGTCGCTAGCTGCCTGCTGTTTAGGCGCTAATGGAGTGTTGCAGATGTGTTTTCTCAAGGGTTTTTCACACACAACCTCCACCAATGCTGGTGCAGATTGAACCATTGGTTAATGGGTAATGCTGTATTAACCATTCCCATTAATTTACCAGTATTTATCCATTTTGGGACCAAACATGGCAACAGACATTTTCCAAAATCTACAGCCAAATGTGTTATTAATTGACCAGTCTGT